GCCATCAAGGTGCAACACATTCCCTTCAGATCTCTGTTGATGTCTTCAGGGCTTTTTTAACCTTCATTAATGATCCTGGGTTTTATTAGAGTAGCAAATCCTGCATAACCCCTCCCAAGCCCTCCAGAAATTAATTTTTAACTTCTTTAGGCAACTGTCTGCTAGTTACCTAGCACCCCTACTACTCCCATCCCTGACTTCCCCCTGACCCTCTGTTAAGGCAGTATTACCCACAGATGTGTAAAGTGCTTGATGCATTCACAGCAGAAGAAAATTGTGATAGGAGAAAAGTTTTCCTGGGTCTCAGATCATCTGAATTCTGGATCATGTCTTTCAGACATTGACAACTGTCATCACTTCTGCACACAAGGAGGAGTTTGCTTGTGACAGGGAGCTGTAGCTTTCCTGGTGCTCCTGGAAGCTAATTGCAGCTTTGTGTTGGAAAATAAACTGTTGTGGTACATAATTGTTACAGGCCCATCTGTGCAGTCCTTCAAGAAAATATCTTCTGTCAAAGTCTTACAGGTTGTTTCTGTGAGGACTGAGGGATTCTATCTGATATATGATAATTCAGAGCTCCTTGGTTACTTGCTGTGGATCTGTCAACAGTCTCTGTTCTAAGAGGTTAAGAAAAAAGAGGCTTCACAATTTCACTGTGAAAAATAAATTCACTTTTCTGATCATAAATCAGTGTTACAGAGGGGAAAAAAATAAAAATTTATCCTTTTAATTTTTTTTTTCCTTGAGCTTGTAACTAAAATTTAGTGAGATGTTCTTCACTCAAGTACAGAAGAGCTTGTACAATTTACAATGAAGGGAGACAGAAGAAGCAGAGTTTCAATTATAAATGGAAGCAAAATAAAACAGAGGGTAAGCTGAAGCCTTGTAGTTAAGACAAGGTTGTCCAGTTGTTCTTTCCAGGAGGGATTTTTTTTTTTAGGGAGAAATGGTCTGTGTTAAGTTACACTCAAAGCTGAGCCATAGTGCGTATTTAAAGGAGGAACACTGTGGCAAATCTTACTTAGCAGCAAAGCATGTAATTTCTCTCTACTGTCCCTTTAGATTTGGAGGTTTGGGAGGGCTTTCTGCTTTTGCCACATATAGTAATGAAATGCTGGTATCAATAAAATGTGCCATTTTGCTGGTATCAATAAAATGTGCCATTTTACTGAAGGCAGATATGAAGCAAACTTCCTCAAGCCGCCAGCTGAGACTTGTGAATCAGTATTTCAGCACTGACCTTTTTCTGCCTCTTATTTCCATTCCAGTTCTTGAGATCTGATGATTAACCCAATGAAGTAATGTTTAATCATTTAACCTTCCTTTGCCTATATTGTAGCAGTCACAGGAAATCTATTTCCAAACCAAAAAACAAATCATCTTTGAAAGGGACATAGTGAGCTAAAGCATCCTGAAATGTTCTAAAGAATGAATCATATTGACTGAGAGTCGAGTCCAGTCTAGATACTTTAATTTTGGGGGAAAATGTTTTGCCTGTAAGTAGCTGAACTTTTATGTCTTTTTAATTTTTAAAGCATTAACTTGTGAGAGTTGTTCTGCTTTTATTTCAAATGCTTAAAAAATTAGAGAAAAGATTGTTCCCTGCAGGGTTTATAGCAGAAAAATTATATTGTGAAATAGGTAAAAGTTGTGAAACTGATGGTTATTCTCTGAGAAATGAAACTTGTAAGGTTTTTTTTATTATTGCAGATGTTGCAAAGGTTTGACAAATGAAATGTTTGGTTGCTTCCTTAAAGAAATATTTCTGAACTTATTTTCATTCAAGTAAACATTGAGACTAAATACATTGTTTGTTGCAACCCTGATATATGTATTACCATGCAAATTATTAGTAGCTATGATTACATTAGCTGATAGAAAATAAGGGGGAAAATTCTTAATTTATCTCTTTTGGCTTATTTAGGAAGATTGAAGAAGGAAAACAAATTAGAAATTCTTGGCTGAAATTGTTAGAACCATGGTTGTGCTTTCCATGGAGTACTTTGTAATAGACAATTAATGTAAAAACAAAACAAAAACAATTTAAAATAAAAATCTAAAAAAAAAGCTACCAATAACTTAAGAACAAAGTTATGAATTAGTAAGGTGGGGAAAATTGCCCTGATGGCTTTTTTTTCTTTCTTTTTTTTTTTTGAGACAAACTTGTTACACTTTTTTCAATACTTTAATAATTGGTCTTATAACAAAAATTGTATGTTTTTAGCTGGAGGAAAAAGATTACTTTTAAGACAGCCTTGAATTCTGCAGCAGTGTAAAAATGTAGGTGAAGGAAATTTTTCATCAAATTTCTTACAAATAATGGTGCACTGTGCTTACACTAAATTAAAAGAGTCAATTTGTATATATTTATTATATCTTTTATTAAACTAGCTGTGCTGCAAGCATTAGTTTCTCTCAAGTTTCTCTTGCAAGTGCAAGTCACTTGCTAGAGAGTTTGTTTCCAGTTCCAACTTGTGCAAATTAATTCCACAGTTTACCCGCAGTGCAGTCTAAGATAATGGTAAATATGTTAAAATTAGAGTAGAAAGAGCTTCCATTGAAATATATCATGGGTCTATTAGAATAATTGCATTGTGGTGTTTTATTTTAAATATACTTTACAATGAGATTTATGGAGCTGGGGAAAAAAAGAAATCTTTATTGGCTTATAAAAGTGAAAATATTGCTCTAACCTCATGAGCATTGTGAAACAGTGAAGAAAATAGGAACTGAAAATCTCAGTCACATTCAGCTTTGTTGTAGTGCAGCTTGTGAAATTCCTACATCAGGCAGCACTTTTTCAGTTCACCTTTTCAAAGGACATCTGTTGTTGAAAGGACAGTGTTACTGTAATGCTTGAGCACAGTGTTTCATCCTAAAATCATTTGTAGAGAAATCCTGAAGACCTGTTTCTGCTTTAGTGTGTGTTGGAGCACTGGAATATCTTGTCTTCTCAGCGTGCTGCATTTGGTTTCCTTTGTTGCTGGTTGGGAGATCCCACTCTGCAGGACACTCACATCCTTCTCAGCCCATCTCCTAAACCCTCCGTGGGGCTGAACACCTCTGTTAGGGTTGACCCAGACTAGTGAGCATGTATTACCTTGTTTTGACTTGGTTTACTAACTTGGAAATAATGATGAGGGAATTTGAGTTTGAGAAGGAACTGCCCTCGATGTTGCAAGATTTTTGGACTTGGTTCGCTGGTAACTGATCATGTTTTGTTGTTTATAAGAATTTGTGTCAAAATGCACTCTTTTAACAGAAAGAGGGAAAATTTTGCTTTACCTGTCATGTAGGCATCTTCTAGAGCTGTTTCTACTAACATAAGTTCAAGTGTTTGGTGTCACCCCCACCAGCAGTGGGTTTGGATCACTCGTACATACTGTGTGTATCCTACAAGTTAAATAGGAAAAGATCAGAGACAAATTTTCAATAAAGAGTGAATATTTTCATCTGTTCCCATTTGCAATAACATGTTCGTGACCCCAGGGTGTTACTCCTGGTAAAATTTAGGAAACTCACCCCTTATAGAATATTCTAAAGGGTTTTTATATTCTCCTGTGGTTAAAAATGTCCCACTAGAAAGAAATCTTATTTATTTGGCATTTTTCTTTAAATTGAACTATTTGTTTTAATTTGGTTTAGTTTTTCAAATGTGAAGTACAATAAATAGAATTTTTCTGATTTCAATAATAATAATTTTTTTTAATCTGTAAAGCAATGTAATGGAGAAAAGTTACTATTTGAAAAAGAACTGTAAGATGAAAGGAAATGGCATTATTACAGATTTTTCTTTTAAATCTGGCATAGAAAGTTGTCAGTGCTATAGTTCAGAATTTAAATAGCATGCAAGAACATTGTCAAGTAAATGTAATTTACTTGCATTGGTGTATAGTACTGAAAGTTTCTACAGAGCTGTAACAAATTTAAAATTGCATAAATTTAATATTTCTGGATGATTTTGTAGTTGCTTTAATCATTAATGATATTCTAAATTCCACACTTCACTATTGAACTGTAGAATTTGGAATATCATTAATTATTAATTAAAGCTATTTCCTTGTGGAATTTATCTGATAGTTTTCTACAAGATGTTAATCAGTGAATATTGCCTTGCTACTGGAAAATCACCTTTTTATTGCTTATTTGTACTTTATTAAAAAAGAATTAATTATTGCTTTTTAAAGTTTGCTATTAGCAAAGATACTCAGCTTTCTGTAAATACTGTTGCCAAGCCTGGGGAGATAATACTGGCCCTGTTTGGAATTTTCTGGATAGTTTTGCTTCAAAACAGTTTTATTCTCATGTAAATTCACTTTTCACATTCATATAAACTGCTTGTATGAATCTCTATTTTTGATTTTTAAAACATTTACTGATAAACTTTCAGGTTTATGTGTTTGAAAGCTGTGATCACACGATAGGATTAGGCAGCATGTTCTTAGCATGGCTTTGTACAGAATAGCTCAGATGTTACCTGGGCTGCCACCTTTGTTGCTTTTAAAATATTTTAGATTCAATTCTATGGATTTAATGAACTTTACAAGTCTGTTGTGGAGAGTACCTGGAATTACATTTGAGGATATAATGGGATTATTGTAGTCTGTGTTTACAGAAAGTACCTTTATAGCATAGGAAATGATATTGAATGAATGAATTCCTTTTGCTTGCTTAAGGAATAAGGTACAAGCAGCACTGGCATTTCAAAGACAGAAATAGTGGAAAACCTGTTTCCATAGTAGTGGGAACTTGGTGCCACTTGCAGAGTTTTAAAAAACCAAACTCAGTGTGTGTGGGTGGTCAGATTTTCACACCGAGCCCTGTGAAGTTCTCTCTCATCCCTCTAAACCCAGTGTTTCAAACAAGCCTTTTTGTTCTAAAAGTTCTCCCAATTGCTAGTTAGGAAGTCCCAAAGCGTGGAGGGTATTGAAGTCACCCACACTTTGAGGTAGGTTCATTTTGGATTTTGCCTCATGAATGCTTCATGTTGTTGTTTGCAGGATTTTGCTTCCCGGGCCAAGCTGGCTGTCCAGAACCTGGTGCAGAAGGTTGGGTTCTTTGGCATCTTGGCCTGTGCCTCGGTAAGTTCACTTCAGGAACAGAGGGATTTAGAACCACAAACTGCAGATTGAATGTACTGCAATGAAATGAAGGCTCTGAACTGTGACTTGGCTTCATTTGAGTCCATGTGGATCCTCGTGCCTTGTGTGCTCTTCCTGTGTTCTCTGTGGTGCCTAAGGAAATGGGATGGTTGTGGTACTGGAAAATACAACAGCATGGAGAAACTCCAGCCTGAGATCAGTACCAAACAGTGAATTCTGCATGAAAGCACAGCTAATGCTTCTACAGGTCAGCATGATGTGCTGACACCTAGTAAAAATGGGTCAGCTCTCTAAAGGTGCAAAAGGCTTGTCACAGCTAGGAAGACTTACAAGAGACTGAGCTAAGACATTCTTCAAATTCAGGAGGTTTCTGTGTTTCTGTTTTAGACAGGGATGCTCCCTGCATTCAATGTGGAGGCCCTGTGCTCTCTAACAGAGGCATTTGCACACTGCTGCTCACTGCCCTGTGTTAGACCAGATCATATGCCTGCTATTATCCTGTTGGGAGCTTCCTAGCCCACATTATTAGCTGGCAAGATGTGGCAAGAGCTGTATTATTGCCTATAGATCGTGCTGGAACCATATTATAATTTCTTTAGGTGTTTATGTACTACAGCTTCCAGTACTTGACATCTTCAAATTCAAAGATTACAGTGCTTGACATCTTCAAATTCAAAAATATACAGAGATGGAAGAGTGGAAAACTTCCTGTATAAATCCTGCTTAGGATAGCCATCTGTAGTAGTTCTCCTGAGTCTGCTCAGGAGATATCTTTGGGTCATTAGGAACCAGAGTGAGCAGAATGAGGAAGCCTGTTTCAGAGTCATGGCTGCATGAACTACAAGCTACTTGTAGCTTTTTTTTTTTCTCTCCAAGTGTAAGGTGATATGAACATCTTCACTGATGCTATTTTAGTATTTTAAGGAGGATAATACTGTTCTTTTGAAGCAGAAAAATGTTGAATGATTCAAGGTTCAAATCTCTCTCTGGAAGCTTAGTGGAAAGTGGTGGGAATGGTGTGCCTTTTTCTTCCATCCCACACACAGGAGGTGGGATGTGATGCACAGAAATGTGATTATGGTGAAGGGGGGAGTGTAGATCCCTGTGATCCCATTCTTCCGGAATAGCCACAGCCATTAGCCAGCTGCTCAGCTGCTGGGGTATTAATTCCACACTTGTCTAGCATCTCTCTTGGTTTCCTGCATTGTAGAGATGACAGTGATAACTGTTTGCTCAAATGTAAAGTAACCTGTGTTAGCTGGAAAGAATTAAGCTGGTTACAGTTGCTGGCATACAACTTCTGTTTACTAATCTTTTGAACTGTCTTAATGTTTAGAGTCGATTTGTAGGTTACAAGCTGTTCTTTAAATCTTTCCATCCATTAAGCTCTTAGACTGCTCCTTCACTGCCTCTGACTCATTTCTCTCAGTGAGACATGCCTGCATAGGCTGGTCTGTCTTGTGTACTCAGAACGACAGCTTGTAGGTGGCAGGGGTGAGTTACTGGAGTGGCTGGACAAGGCAAAGTGGGGATAAATGGAGGGCATGAGGAAGGAGCTGGTGAACACGAGAGGTGATGTGTAAACTCTGCATAGTTCCTGCTTAGTAATACTTAAACATTTGGTTAACTTCTTACCCACTTGCTGCACTGTTCTCCAGCTTCCTCCTTGAGCTTATGTAGGCTGCCCGGGTTGGGGGAGGGATGGGGAACCATGAATCCACTGCAGTACACTTGAGGATGTGTACACGTGTTTACAGACTGAGCTGCAGGGTAGCAGTAAAAAGGGTGAGGTTAGATGTGGCAGAGGCATTGAAGGAGCCCCCACGTGTGCTCCAGGCATTTGTGTGTTCCCCTGTGAACTCTGGGCCTCTGTTTGAGGCTTCTCTTCCCTATTGCTGCTTCTCCTTATGCTAGAAGGCATCTTATTTATCTGCCTCCCTTATAATTGCAACCGTAGTTTTGGATTTTAAACAGTATTTTAGTTGGCTATATTTTTTAGGATCAGAGAACTTGCTTGTAAGGTGGTAATGACTGTCCTCACTGCAGGTAGTTGTCTGTTGAGCAGCAGTTTCTAAATGCTACAGAAACACAGACAAATTGGATTTAAAACTTCCAGTGTATCCAGTGAAGTCAACTGAAGGTGATGTTTAGTAAGAAAGCCATATTATTGTCAGGAGCTTGTTTCCTGTGGAAAGGCAGACTTGTTGGGTAACTCTTTGCTGTGATCTGTGTAGTGTATTGATGATATCCACAGCTACCTCCACCTAAAGCACGTTGCTCCATCTCTGGTAATACAGTAATTAAAATGCACCATGAACTTACAAAAAACCCTCAAGCCAACCAACAAAGAACAAACTTAAGACCTAGAGCAGAGTTGGCTCAGAGGAGCAAAATTATCTGGCTGTGGTATAAGTAAATAATTTACTAGGCTGCTTTGCCTGAGACAGCTGTCAGAGGTGAGGAGTCATTTCAGGGGAGGCGGAGCACGTTTAGAGACCGTTTCAGATTTCTTCCTATGCAGGTGGTGTTGTGGGTGCTCATAAATTTGAATTGCTAGTCTATAACAACCAAGTCCAACCCTCATAAGCAGATTGCCATTCAGTCAGTTGCAAAGTTACTGTCTTTTATGGTCTTTAGCAATCTACAGCCTTTATTTGTTTCTGTAACAAAACAACACAAATACTGCAGGATATTAGCCCAGAAATATGTTGCTACTGTGAATTACACATAGCCCTTGTGTTTACTCAGACAGTCTGCCCCTGTGCTGCATGCTAAGTGTGAAAGGTTGGAATTTGGATACTTTCTTGGCTTAATTTCAAAAATATTTTACAGATAATATCACAATACCAAATGTCAAGCCAACAGTGTAACAATAAAAAACCCCCACTTTTTAATTTTAAATGAAATGCATATGCTTAATAAAACATAATCAGTGCTTCTAAACTGGATACATATGACTGTAAATGCCAGTTTATAATGTACTTTCTTAGATGGAAATCACTGGGGATCATTTTGAACACTGCCTTCCAAGAGTGATGTGTGTGTCAGGGAGAAAATTTGATAAATGGCTCAGAACAGCTTTGCTGTGGTTTCTGTGTGCCTCACATGGAAAACTTTTTGTTAGCTTTTTTTAAAATCCAGGGGTGAGGAGGGACCATGAGAATGGAATTGTCTGAGACATTGTCTAGCTGAATCCCAGAGACTTAAGTTATGTGGTGTGACATTAACATTTTTGTAAGTATTAAGACTCAAGAGTTTTGGATCAAGTTGAATAGGGGGAAAATGTTCATTTTTCAAAGTTGCAAAGTCTGTCGTGTTCCTGTTCATCTAAGTGAGTGCTGCAATTCATGAACTTCTTTCCCTTGCACTTCATAGATTCCAAACCCCCTGTTTGACCTGGCCGGGATAACATGTGGACACTTTCTGGTTCCCTTCTGGACCTTCTTTGGTGCAACCTTGATTGGGAAAGCAGTAATTAAAATGCACATCCAGGCAAGTACTACACCTCCCTGAGGGCTCTGGGGTGAAGAGTTGGTTTTTTTCTTTTGACTGTTACACTGCTCTACTTTGTAATGAATTCTGGAGTCTCCCTTCCTGACCTGAAGTAATGGAAATTAATTTGGTGCAAAGGATTTCCAATAAAGGATCTGCTGGGCTTCTTACACTCAACATGTTGGCAACTGAATAATTTATAGCTACAAACTAATGAGCTCTCTGCCTACACCACTCAGGAAATTGGTGGTTAGCCAAGTTATTTACCTACGGTTTTTACCAGACTGAAAGGACTTCATACTCATAATGAACTTGCCTTTTTGGTAACCAATAGTCGTTTCACAGAGCACTGCAACTGGTCTTTACCAGCCAAGCAGCACTTTTAAATGCTGCTTGTTACCTCAGCTGAGTGTGTGGAGAAAACCCCACTCCTTCAGGCCCTGCAGAGGCAGTCCATGGTATGGCTCTGGGCATACCCTCCACACCTTTCAAGCACAGCTGGCATTTTTGGTGTCCTCAGTCTCTATTTTTTTTGCAAAGGCCAGATTTCAGAGTGTGCCCAGCTTCTCTTGCTCACTCAAAGCCTTACCAGCTGTTCTGAATGTGGCAACCAGAATCTCCAGTCTTGCTTTTAAAATGTGTCCCCTTGTCTGCAGCGACAGATGAAGTGTTGGTTCCCTGGCTGTTCCTCCCTGGAGGTGCTGTGCTCAGTGCTAGGTCAGGGCCTGCATCACTCCAGTTGAACCAATCTGAGCCAGTGCTGTCAGCTGGGGCTTGTGTTTTTTAAGCATCTCTGTAGGACTGGTGCAATACTTGGAGCTGTGTTGCTTGGAAATCTTTTTTCATTGCATTAAAATAGCAGAAGGTATCAATAGTATAAATTATCTAATACCTTCCTCAAGCTGCTTAAAAAACCCTTTCTTTTGTCTTGAACAGAAGATTTCAATCTTTGAGCCTTTTTCCTCCCCATCTTTTTGTAAATGTTTATTTTGCTATGTCCAGTCTTTCAGCAGAAAATAATAAATAGAACTGAAAATTCTTCCATTTACTGTGATAGAAAAACTTTTTCTCCACACTTATTTTTATATTGTCTGATTTCTTCTGCTTTTAAATACATGCTGTTAGAATTATTTCTGGCAACAGAGAAAAGTAAAATGGTATTTGTGTAATGCTCCTTTTATTATTTTGTCTTGCTTAGCTAGGAGAATTTTTGCAATGTAATTTATAGTGCTCCACACTCAGGTCAAATGTAAGTGAGAAAATATTTCCCAGTGTCTTGTACAGAGGGTAAATCATCTTATTTTGTAATATGTTTAGCTATCAGAATTCTCTTTCCTGCGATGCTTCATTTCAAACACACTCTTGTGCAATAGCCTTGATTTTTGTAGTGATCTTGCTGCAATTTGGAATTTAGGAAATGTAAGAGTCATGGAAAAGGCTTTTCATGAAATCTCTCTCTAGACAGGAAGCGATGTCTCTGGTGCAGTGGCCATCCTGGAGCTGCTTGTAACTGGCCTCTTCCCCCAGACCACAAAATCACTTTGTGCAGCTCTAGTCACGTCCCTTATTTCCAGACTAGTGAATGCAGTTCTCCTTAGATCATGCTGAAACTGATTTAAGGAGGCTGTGGGAACTGTTGGTGTGTGGATGCACGTCTGCACACGGTCTTCCTCTCTCTTTGCAAATGAACAAGCCACCAAATATGACAGAAGTGGAGTTAGCAAAGGCTATTTTAATAAGATTTTAATGTGTTAGAAGAGAAAGGAATGGTAAAATTGTGGACAATTGGACTTCTGTAAAATAAGCTATATGTTACTGAAATTTTTTTAATTAAAATTAGTCTGTTCCAATTAATCTGTTGAAATAGAGACAGTGACAGTCTCCAGTTTTTTTAAACAGGCAGGTACCCAATGGCTCCTACTTTGTTCTTACACTAAGTATTTTTTTTGTTGTATTTCTGTCTGAAGCACGTAAACTAGGGGACTAAAAGCTATATTATTTTTCACTGTTGTGGTCTTTAAGTCCATGTGTTTGTGTAAGGGGATGTGAATTTTTCTGCATGGTGATGACTGTTTTTCCATTAAAACATTGTTGACGGAGTAAAGTGACCTTGAGCTTCTGGGAATTGAAGTTTGGGGAGGATGCGAATGGTTAGTAACACAGGCTACAAAAACATGGCAAGAAATTAAATCTGTGAGGAAATAGAATAGCAAAGTAAACAGCTTCTCACTCTCCTGCCTCGTTTTTGAAGAGTATTGAAAAATAAGGATCTTGAAAGAAAAGAGAAGGGAAAGCTGTGTGTGAGTGTGGAGAAGCTGTCTGGGTGGAAAGGAACATGAATTGTCATACCCCATTGTCTCTGCTTCCCTTCTGATCAGATGTTTCTCTAACTGATGTTTTCCTTCCTACAGAAACTTTTCGTTATTATAACATTCAGCAAACATATAGTGGAGCAGATGGTGTCCCTCATCGGGTGAGTAATTCACACACAGTAACACTCATTACATGGAAAAATACTGGAGGACTCAAATTAGATGTGCTGCAAATGGTGCTTTGCTTTTTGCAAGCTTCGGCCAATGTGTAATTTAGGTCTATTTGCAACTTTATTCCTCACCCTAAAGGCTTCAAGTACTTCAAGAAACATTAATAGCACTGAGGGTCAGATGGTCTGAGTACGTAGCACCAGCACTTAACTTTAACCCAGAAATATGATCCAGCCCTTCCAGTTATAGATCATACACTTTTAGCAGCAAAACCACTGGGTGTTCATAGACTCTCTTCAATGTTATAGTGTGATCCTACGACAAAAACTGAAAGAACTGTTGTGATTTGTGTGGTGTCCCCAGACAACAATAAGCATCTTCCACAATGTGAACTACCTTATATTTTTAAAGTACTAAATTTCTCATTAAATGCCAGAATGAGAAATTTCGTATGTAGAGTTTTATCATCATCCTGTTGAACTTGTTTTTCCATAGAAGAAATGACAGTTTTCATGGATATACTGTTCTGATTTTGAGGAATTTTGTCTTTTGTTTGGATTGAGTGTAGTAACTGATGAGTTTTTTTGGGGTTTTTAAAGTTAAAATCTCAGTTTAAAACAAACTAAGCATAAACACAGCTAACAAAAGTGAGGAGGGAGAAAAAGACAATTGAAACTACATACTTCATGTTACCTCAGTGGGTTTGAATGAAGATTGGACACTGATGATGAAGTGTTAGATTTTTGCCTCACATCTACCTGTCCAGTCATGAAATTCTGTGTAATTTTAAAATCCATTGTTGGTGTTAGGTTTCCTGCCTGGTAATCCAGGAACACTGCCTCCCTAGCCATGCAGAAGTTTCAGAAATGGCTTGAATGCAAACAAAGCATGCAACTTCATTTAAATGTAGGCAACTAGATCAAATTATATGGATTTCAGCAAAAATTCATGCTTAAGTGTTTGAAGGAACAGTTGTGATCTTGGGGCAAAAACTACTGCCTGTTTTCAGTGCACTGATCAGATTAATGTGAGGGGTGCAGGTTTAAAGTCTTAAATGTGAGTCTCTAACATGTAAATATAAAGCTTTATTCTTGAGTTTGGGTTGGGGGGGAGTTGTGCTTATTCCTTTTTAAACTAACTACCTAATACAGATCCAGAAAATCAATTTTAAAGGTGTTTCTACTTTTCCAAGGTCTTTCATTTGTTATATGGGGCAAGTTGATTGACACTTTGCTATCCAAACTGTGATAAGTATTTTCACATGAAGTCCAAAAAGCCACACTCCTCAAGAACAGTTTCAGGGGAGGAACGTCTGGAAATAACTCCATTTAAAATATGTAAACTTGAAGTAGTAATGCTGTACAGAGAAAAAGGGGTGTCAGAAGAAACATGCTAGGGCATTTCACTAAACTTCACAAATCCTGACTTTATTACTTCCTAATCTTCTGATGGGGCATCTGGTTTTTAACAAAGTGCAAAATTAATTTGGTGCTTTGAACATAATTTTTTCAAAAATGAGAGAAATGTGGCTACTTTTAACCCTCATTAGTTAACTTTTCTTAGTATCAGTCACACCAGACAATTTACTACAAACATTTGATCTGCACGGCTACTAGGTCAGGTATATTTCTAAAGATTTACCCTCCTGCAGATCTTCGAGCCAAAACTAGTAGTTTTTTCCTACTTCATCTGTCTTGGAGATAATTTTGCATCGAATTACTTCGAATGCATTCACAAGACCTCTGCTGGATTCAGGTTTTATTAGATGGTTGATGTCAGAGTTAAAAAATGTTCTCGGGAGACAGTCAGATTTTTGGAATGTCCCGGTATCTTTGCCTTTTCTCAAGCTGTCTGCTAGCATTACCTCATCAATTTCTTTTAGAGTGGGGTATAAAACATGTTAAACAATAGCTTGCATTAAATCTTTTATTATTAAGTTAAAATATAGTTCTATCTAATGGTTGGTAACTTTATTTTAATCAAATTCTATCCGACACAATGGCTTAAGACTTTTTTTTGTCTGGGCTGTTGCTCTTACACAATAGGAAATGTCTAAGAACAATACTTTAATGAATGTATTAATATACAGGATAACTAAAATCTGGATGGAAGATTAACGAGATAAAGTCTGAGTGTATTTGATTTTCTAAGCCAGAGAGTTTCTCGAGAACTAGATTGAGTCTTAGTCAAAAAGCAAAAATGATTCACCTGCAGAGCTTGCCCGAAGCTCCACAGTCATGTACTGGTGTTACTGGGAGCTGCTGGCACTGCACACCAGGCCTGCCAGAACCAGGCTGGCTTAACAGGGCTTTGGGGAGTTTGACTTTACAGTTTTATCTAGCTCTCCATTAGAAAAGGATCATAAAATGCTCCTTATTAATTAAAGAAAGAAAAGGAAAAGAAAATGTGGTGGGAAATTAAGAAGCAATTCAGAAAAAAAAAGAAAATTTGTAAAAGATTGGTGGTAGGTGGTGTACAAAACAAGGTGAGGGGGTGGGGGGTGGCAGCAGCAAGGCAAGTGGCAGCTGGTGCACCAGCCTTGTTGGAAGGAACAAGGAGACTTGGGTGGATTTAAGACAGTGAAGCCAGCGAGCTGAAGAGGGTTCCAGGGACACTGGTGGCTCACGTGGGGCTGGTGATTGTCAGCCTGCTCTACCAGTTAGTGTCAAGTGGCACTGTTGCTGTCTGAACTGCCAGAGGAGGAGAATGCTCCCCCGTGGGTTGTGTTACATCCACAAGCTTTTGTGAGGAAAGATGATGTGTAACAATTTTTTCTTATGTTCTGTCACTTGAAGAGTTTAACTTACTGATCATCTTTGTAAAATGCTTTGATGCTGGTTTTAGGCCCAACCTAGCCCATTCAAAATATGTAATTATCATGCATGTTGTGGGTTTTCTTTTGGCTCTTGAATCTGTTTAATTTTTTTTACCTACAGCTGCAGGATTCTTTATGAAGTCACACTAAGAATACTGCTTTTAAGCATGATCATATTTTCTTTGAAGTGGCAGTTGCAAATGTGGATTAAGAATTCCCAGAAAACTACTAACAGAAAGAGTCCTTAAAGCACACAGCATGCACAAAACTGTCTGCCATCAAATTGGGGTAAAAGTGGCACAGTAGAAGCCTCTTCTAGCAGTCGCTCAGACAAATCCCACCCTTTGGGCAGAGAGATTCCCTCGAGTGTTGCAAAGTTCATGATAACGTTGGTCACACAGGCTGCAGAGTGTCTCAGTTCCCGAGGCTGTGGCAGTTACTCCACGGCCAGGGAGAGGTGTGAGTGCTGGGAGAGGCTCCTGGTACACCACGGGTGTGATCCTGGCAGAACTGCTGCCTGCAGCACATGGTGCCTTGCCAATTTTAAGAGAAGGGGAAACTAATCTATTCAATTAATGAACTGAGTCAATAAACTTATTTGAAGTTTAAATAGAAGCCAGTGAAATGAATGTTAAAAAAAAAAATTGCCTACTGACAGATTTTTAAAAGTGAATTTGTCAGTGCTGTGTCCCGTGGGTGAGCCCTGTTAACACTGTGCAGGGTGATGGAAATGACTCTGAAAATCTACCCAAAAATACCAGTGCTTCTGAAGGTTTCTGAGCCTGGTGGGTTTTGTGGAACAAATTGTCGTGCTGACCAGCTCTGCAGGCCAGTTTGAGTGATTGCATGTCTTAAAGGAAAATGGGTGTTTTGGTAGCAGGTACTTGAACCGTTGCCTTGACAAACCAGTTTGCTGCCATTTGTTGTGCCAGAATTCTTTGCTTCACAACTTAATCTCAGTTGATACTTGTAGGGAGCGTGATGTTCCTTTCATGAAAAAAAGTACAAATGCAATGATGGTGACTGAGGTAACTGGAAACTTTGCTTAAAGATTGTAGATTTTTTTCAGAAATAATTTACAGTATAGGTCGAGGTCATTTCTTTATAATAGAAGTCAAGAAGGCACAGTGACAGAAAGGGCTGCACCAGAAATCTGTTCTCCTGGGGTGGGAAGAGACTTGTTTAGATTCACGTTGCAGTGTGTGAGTGCCTGGGATCTGGGGGGGCTTCAGCTTCCCCCATCTCGTGGCCTGTGCCAGCTCCTCCCCACTGCAGAGCTGCAGCCAGGGGCCAGGCCCAGTCTGCCACCCCACCTTCCGAGCTGTGGACCTTGGTGCTGCACATGAGCCAGAAAGTCCATATGCTGTTGAACTGGCATCTTCATTGAAGGATATTTTGAAAACCAGGTTCCAGCCACTATTTAAAATAAAACCTGTGTAGTAGAATTCAACCAAAAATAAACTGAAGTGGCTAAGAACAGAGCAGTAGCTTCAAAATCTCCCAAGAGAAACGCTTCTGGAAGGTTATACCATACACCTGGCATTTCTTGGTACAATAAACCAACGGCTCTCCTCCCACGAGTGTATCAGAAACCTGTGGGACTGTGTCCTTGTAATACGCCCTGTACACAATAGGCCAGCTCCCCACAGAAAAGGCTTTAGCATTTTGAAAGGGACAGAGATGTGGATGAAACTTGAGTAGCTTTGGTGTTGAAAACCTTCCCGTGGATCACAACAGAAGTATAAATGTTTATTTGCAAAAGGCTTGTAGGATTTAACTCTGAACAAGCAAGCTATTTTTTCTAAATTGTGTACAAAACCACAAATAGAATTTTCCTTGCAAAGCGCAAGACTGAGCAGAGTCAAGAACCAGCAGCTCAGAGATGTTGCAATTCCTATTTTTGAAAGCATTCATTTTAACATAACAGAATGTCCCAGTTGCAGACAGCCTGGTTAAATTGGAGCCTAGCTCCAGGTGTGAATGATGTCAAACACGTAACAGTTTTAGCTTAGTAGCCTTCCAATAAGGTAGCTCCGTTCTTCATCTCGTACAGGGAGTGAATCTGCCAAGTAGCCTTTTAAGCCCAGATTTTCTGTTGGTCCTGACCATAAGCCAGATTTATTTTGTGCTCTTTTGGAACACCGAATGCAGATAACACTGAAGTTTCCCTGAAGG